GGGGCTCGAACTCACAGTGAGATCATGACCTGAGCCAAAGTCAGTCATGAGCCAAAGTTGGTCACTTAACCAAATGAGCCACCCAGGCGCCCCACCAGTAAAGAATTCTAAGCTTTATCCACTCTAAAATAATAGTGGCTTAATTCAAGGAATCTCTCTTCAATTTCACTGCAAAAGAAGGGGGAGGGATGTATGGAAATCACATGAGAAATATTTTTAAATACTTTCAGCAACATGCTCACTTCAGCAGCACATATACTAAAATACTTTGAGCAAAATAATCCATACCATATTAAACTCCTTTGGTGCACAGTAAATCATAGTGAAGAACAAAACTGAAAAGTAGAATTCATTTGAGTCTATATTGTACAGAAGAGCATAACTTAAGTACAGAAGAAGAAATCATAGCATCTTCCAGTGAATTCTAGGTAGCAAATAAAAAAACAGTTACAATAGTTTCCCAGTGACTCTAATTGTTCAGGATGCCTAAGTAAAACAAATTCTTATACAAATTTCAAAGAAAACTAGAAAATACATTAAAAAATATTAAATACAAGATAACTTCTCAAAGATCAATTGAAATAGAAGGTGCACATATCTTAGATATAAATCTTCTTTGCTTTTACTTAAAAAAGTATGCTTTCTAATGGTCATATGAAAAAGACATTTACTTTTTTCCCATTACTAACCCTGAGAAAGGGAGAACAAATGTGGAGTAGGCCTCATAGCTCACTAAGAACCAAACTCCACACTTTTCCCAATTGTGTATGGCAAGTAATGGAGTCCAGGATTACACTTATTCAGAATTCCACATACACACATCAGTTTAAACCACCCCAAACTACAATTTGGGTAACTGTTACATGTGGCATTACACTTTTAGTCCCTATACGGGTTTAACGAGAACAAAATCTATTATTTACTCCGTAGGAATTTTCAGTTCAGTATATAGCAATCTATATGGATATCATAGTTTCATTGCTCAAGAAGCTCTACTCAGCAGGAGAAAAATATGAATAAGTTCTGTGTATACTTATCTTTCACTACAAACATGTTAGCTGTTACAAGGGAGTTACGAAAGGAAAAATGTGGAATTTCATCACAATGGAATATGGGAAGAGCTGATATTTCCTCTTTGCCATTGTAATTATTCTTTTTACAATGAAACTCAGAATTGCAAATTTAGCTGAATTTACCACAGTTTCAACTTTTGTAAATGAAATAAAATTCACTCACTGGGCCAAAAATGGCAAGCAGCAGTTGGGAGCAAGAGGGCGATAAGGACAGAAGAAAACAGATTCACTGCATTGTTATCAAGAATCGGTTTCCCTGCTATGTACTTCACCTCATTCACTGGGCTGTTGACCACCATGCCAGTGCTTTCATCTAAACCTGGAGTAGAAAAGAAGCAAGTGAGGTGGAAAATCCAAATGACTTGATTTAAAACAAATAAGCTCTTCCCTTCCAAAGAATATAATCTTTGAAAGATTCTCAGCCACTTGAAATTGATTTCAGTGGAGGCGCGCCTGGGTGGCTCAGTAGGTTAAGCATCCTACTTTGGCTCATATCATGATCTCACAGTTTGTGAGTTCGAGCCCTGTGTTGGGCTCTGTGCTGACAGCTCAGACCCTGGAGCCTGCTTCGAATGTTTTGTCTCCCTCTGTCTCTGCCCCTCCCCTGCTCATGCTCTGTGTCTCTCTCCCTCAGAAATAAGATAAACATTTAAAACAAATTTTTTAAAAGTTGATTTCAGTGGATAATTAAATGGTGAGAGATATGGAACCCTCGATTACAATAGACTTTTTTGAAATGTGATTTTCAGTACACCTTAATACTGTTCTCTCAACACTGCTGGAATTCCTTCACAGGTAGAAGGGAGAACATTAAAAGTAGAGATGTCATGAAACCAGAAGACTAGGCCTGCAAGACCAATAGGGATCATGTCTTTGGCCTCGGCACTGGAAACCCAGGACCCAGCACGGTGCCAGCACAAAGGAGGCACACAAAGAATTAACGAGTTAATCTGTCCCACAGTCCACATTTATTTTTTCAACCCACTCAATATGATCAGAAACTTCCCCAGTTAGAACCCAGTTTAGAATAAAACCTAGGTTCTTAAAAAAAACAAGAACAAACAAAAAAAACATAGGGATGGAGGAGGGAGGGAGGGAGAGAGAGAGAGACAGAGAGATGGTGAGTCTGTGTCTGTGTGTGTGTGTGTGTGTGTGTGTGTGTGTAGTTACTGACCTTTACCCTGAACTAAAATCAGACTGCTTCCTCCTTAGTATCTAGATGAGACTAACAAATCTGAGAGAACAAACATTCTGATTGGTGGGAAGCGAAGCATAAGGGCAAGTAGATGATCTTGGCACATGAAAAGAAATAGAAGGACTGTACACAGGGAAACTTTCTCCAGACTCCCAGCTTCTTCACTGTATGAGTCAAAGGAAAACACATGGTTCGTCAGAGTGTGGAAGAAATACACAACTACCAGAATATGTCAGTATACTGACATGACAGGACAGCCTCAAAAGCAAAGCACAGAAAATTGTGGGGAAAACCAACTCTCCCATGTATCTTGAGTGGGGCTAAAAATTCAGTGGGGACAGAAAGCATTATGTCACAGTAGAAAAGTAGGTCATATGTGTACAGAGTAAGAGTAGTACAATAATTTTTTCTCAAACAGACTTGTAAAACAAATAGAGGGTGGGCATTAAAATGATCTGATCCGAAATGTTCTGCTTTCCTGGGATTAGATAAAGTCCCATAAGCAAAAGTATCTGTTTCCTGCACTATCATATCCTCCCCACATAGCTTCTATTCATTGTTCTGTAGGACTAATTCTCTTTCAATTAATTTAACACACACAAAAATTAAAATCAAAATTGTGGAAAAGACTCTGTCCTATCATTCCTGGCCTCTCAATTTCCTCTTTGAGATTGTTTTCATGTTTTCTCCCCCCATATTTGTTCCATGTTTTCTCCCCCCATATTTTTTCCCATTTAATATACTAATAAGTTGCAATAATAAAGTGATGCTCTTACCAGTAAATTGCATTGTAGCTCCTAAGTATGAGTCTACAACTGATCCTAGTAATCCAGCCAGACCCCCAAATGCAATAATAGGCCACTGGGGAGCAGAAATGTCCAAATCATTAACAAAAACCAACTGTGTGAGGAAGTACGTGATGCCCACAAAGGTACCACCAAGGAGACTGGAGGCAAGGCCCACCACTGTGACCCCTCCATTGGTCCCTGAAGAAGAAACATAGATAAAAATAATCTGGTTAAAAATCAACAAACACATAAAATCAAGGAAAACAAAAAATTGTAGTACCTATCTTACTAAGACTAAAAGAAAGGGTTCTCTTTCATACAATCCAAAGCTCATAGCCTACTTAAAAAGAAGTCTTTTCTGCACATTGACTCCTGACATTATAAGCAGTGCGGGGGAATGGTTCAATGGAGCCAGACTGCCTGATTTCAATCTTCCTTCTGCCACTTCCAAGTTATGTGACTGTAGTGAAGTTACTTAACTTCTCTTAATTTCCTTGTTTGTTAGATGAAAATAATTAAAGAACCAATACACATGAATATTGAGAGTATTAAGGATGACGATAATGAGGAAGAGATAAAAAGGAGGTGAGGAAGAAAAGGAAGAGGAGGAGAAAGTAGAGGAGTAAAAGACGAGGAGAAAGAAGGGAAGAACATGAAGGAGGAGGGCAGGTGATAACAGAGACAAAAATGTAGTAGTCGTAGTAGCAGTAGATGATGATGATAATGGTAAGAGAACTGAGATCTGTGGTAAAGCACTAACCACATAACAGGTCCTCAAGAAATACTCTACTATTCCTTTCCTTTTCTCCTCTCCTACTGATAGGTCTCTGCATTCCTGTATTATTTATCTAGGACTTGCTAACATTTCCTGCAAATATTATTATCACCAATTTAACAGCCTACAGTAGTTTTCTTTTTTTTTTTTTTAATGATACTTTTATTTTTTTTATTTTTTATTTATTTATTTAAAAAAAAAATTTTTTTTTCAACGTTTATTTATTTTTGGGACAGAGAGAGACAGAGCATGAACGGGGGAGGGGCAGAGAGAGAGGGAGACACAGAATCGGAAACAGGCTCCAGGCTCCGAGCCATCAGCCCAGAGCCTGACGCGGGGCTCAAACTCACGGACCGCGAGATCGTGACCTGGCTGAAGTCGGACGCTCAACCGACTGTGCCACCCAGGTGCCCCAGTAGTTTTCCAATTAAGGGAATAACCAAAATTCTTAAAAGCCTCCTAGGTAAGAAACACAATCAATCGGGTTTTTTTTGTTCACTTTGTTTTTTTGAAGAAATTTAAATATAGACTCACCAACTGGAACTTTTTCCCAGGTTGTTATTAGCCTTGGCGGGCTTTTACTCAGAACGGTGCCAACTTCTGAAGCCCACGTGTCTCCAGCAGAGCAGGCCAGTGCAGCCAAGAGAGACAAACACATCCAGGAAGCAGTGTACTGCTTGGAAAAATCTATTGGGATTTCCCCAGGGCCATTTTCTATCATATACAGCAGGGCCAGCTCTGTAGGCACAGCTCCATTACAGAATACCTGAATCCAATTCCTCTGCCCGCCTACAAACAAACAAGTACATAAAAAGGACAAGAAATGTTTTCTCCTCAGAAGGGCAATCATGCAGTTACAGGAATTTATTTTAATGTTTAAGAAAAGAAAAATGACTACAATTTTAAAAATGACTAAAATTGGATAGTACCTTTTTCTATATTCTATATTATTTTAGAATAATTAATGATAGATTCTAATGCTTCTAAAATTCGCTCTTACTATTATGGTGAAGTAATGATAAACTAAATTAGGCTACTACTTAAGTTATTCTCATCTAAAATTTATCTGTTTCAACAATCTAAACATGTTCTTACTGTAAGCTTATAGTATGTTAGGATGAAATAAAGGTTACTATTTTGAGTGATATCAAACATAATTCATTTTACCTTCTTTGTATTCTGAATCTAGACGCTTCTTTATTTCTCCCTTCCATTTAGTGAGTTTTGAAGAAGAAAGGAAAAACATCAGCAAAGAGGTAAAAAAGCTGTAATTTGCAATGGTTAGGATAAATCCAACCACAAGTCCTGAAAGAAACATATACATACACAGAATTATATTTAGTCCATACATTAATGCTGTGAAAAAAGGAATGGATTTTTTTCAGTTCTTTTTCACATTAAACCTGAAATGTACATTTCTAATACATCTTCACTTTTACCAGTTCAGATATTACCAAGTAGTAAACTAAATGTTGGTTTCATTAAATTGAGAGATTTTTTTTTTAAACCATATTTTGACCTCCTTTCAAACTATCAATATATGAATGTATTACTGTAGACATTTTATTTTATAATCAAATTACAGAACACAATAGCAGTGATTCACTATTAAGCAATACATATTATATATGTTATATACAACATTTGGATAGACAGCTAGTTTGGAAAATTTCAAAGTTAACTGTGGATCTCTGCAGAGAGGTTAAACTGTGGCATCTTTCAGGCTTCTAATTTTTACATTTCCCCCTATAGTCTAGATCTTTTTTTCTACTTAAAGGCTAGCTTTTTGGCTTTTCAAAAAAGTTCTACATGCTCTCTTCTTGAGTCTCATAAACTATGGGAAAAGATATAGATAGTGTTTCTTAGCTATGTTTTCTTATGTAAATCTATGAAAACAGTCCTGGATTTTATGTGAAATTAAAAATGGAGTATTTTCTGTGAATGTGATTTTAGATTTTTCAACTTTTTCTTTGTTTCTTTTATTTGGGCAAAGAAGAAAGGGAACATCTTGCATTTTTCCATGAATGACCAATTTCAAGGAAGGCTTATCAGGAGAGCAAAAAAGAGGGAAGCTTACATTAAATGAAACAGAAAAGAAAAAAAACAGAAAGAAGGAAAGATGTACTCTTGATATTATAGCAATATGTAAAGAGGCCACTGAAATCAACTGCTAAATCAGTCAAACATGCTTGAGACTTAACTTGTTGTAGGTTACTAAACTGAGAAATTATAAAGCCTGTCTCTCAATAATTCTATAAAGAAAATGCACATCTGCTGGAATTAGCTTCTTAAATTACTCAGATAATCCTTAAAGGCCTTTGTTAGAAAATTTGAAAATAAATGTTCTTATGAGAGATGCCTGGGTGGCTTAGTCAGTTGAGTGACTAACTCTTGATTTTGGCTCAGGTCATGATCCCAGAGTTGTGGGATCAAGTCCTGCACTGGGCTCCATGCTGAGCGTGGAGCCAGCTTAAGATTCTTTCTCTCTCTCTCCCTCTGTCCCTCTTCCCCATGTGTGTGTGCTCTATATAATAAAATAAAAATAAAAAAGAAATTGTTCTTAGTAGCAAAACTTGGTGGCTGAGATAGCAAAGTACCCTAGTTCCTATTACCACAATGCTTAGTAAATTCTACAAAAATGAATGAGACAGAGGATTCTGGAAAGATGGGAGGAGTAGGAAGCATTAAGAATCTGTCTTCCCACCTAGACAACAATTGCACAGGCAGAATCTGTCTGACAAAACTTTTTTGGAACTCTGGAGTCTACTGAAGGCTTGTAACTTTCAAAGGAAGGCTTGGAAGGGAAACTGTAGTAATTTTGGTCAGTTTCCCATCACCACTCCCAGCCCCATGGCAGGAAGTACAGGAATTGCAGGAGCAGTCTGCACACAGGTTATGAAAGCCAGGGCGGACAATAAGGACTTGTCTTTCTTTAAAAATTTTTTAATGTTTATTTTTGAGAGAGAGAGAGAGAGAGAGAGAGAGAGAGAGAGAGAGAGAGAGAGAAAACGTGAGCAGGGGAGAGACAGAGAGAGAGGGAGATAGAATCTGAAGCAGGCTCCAGGGCTCAGAGCTGTCAGCACAGAGCCTGATGCAGAGCTCTAACACTCCAACCATGAAATCATGACCTGAGCTGAAGTCAGACACTTAACTGATTAAGCCGCCCAAGGGCCCCTGGACTGGTCTTTCAAATATGAGGATTTGTACTCTGATCAATGACTGCTGCTTCTGATAGTGCAGATATAGACACAGAGGATGGCAGCCATTGTTGCACTCCACCCCTTACTGTTGCAAGCCCTTTCTTGCTAAAGGAACTTCCAAAGGATTTAAAGGGTTGATTCCAGCCTCCCTTCATTTCTGGTTTTCCTCATTTGGAGAGCCATACTTTAAAGACTAGGACATTCGAAAGAAACTGAATTTACGGGAAAAATTAGAAAGTCACAGTGCATACCCAGAGAAAGGTATAGGCTCAGAAAAGACTGGGAAGACCTTAAGTTTACACCTTAGGGTGATCTCTGGCATAGAGACAGCCTGCAACAATCAAAAACAAGACAAAACAAAAACAAAAAAGAGCAAACCTTGGGGACAGGGGAAATTCTGATTTCCAGAGTTACCATCTTATTAGATTTAAATGTCTAGTTTTCAAGAAAAATATCACAAGGCATACAAAGAAACAGGAAAGTATGGCCCATTCACAGGGGAAAAAAAAAATCAATGGAGACTGTCACTGGAAGGGCCAGATGGTGGACCTACTAAGCAAAGACCTCAAAACAACAGTCTTAAGGATGCTCAAAGAATGAAAAGAAGACATGAAGAAAGTCAAGAAAACAATATGGGATATGGAAATGGTAATAAACAGGACAGAAATCTAGAGAAAAAACAAAAGGAAATATTGGAGCTGAAAACAATTCACTAAAGATTCAAAGGCACATTTGAGCCGGCAGAATAAAGAAATCAATGAACTTGAAGGCAGGCAAAGGAAATTATCCAGTCTGAAGAACAGAAAAAAAAGACTGAAGAAAAGTGAACAAAGCCTAAGGGACAAGTGGAACGACACACACGTGGGAATCCCAGAAGAAGAAAAGAGGACAAGGGATAGAGAAATTCTTTGAAGAAATAACAGCTGAAACCTTCCCAAGTTTTGTTTTTTTATTAAACTTACCAAGTTTGATGAAAGACACACGTATAAACATGCAAGAAAGCAGCTTACCAAACTCCAAGTAGAATGAATTCAGAGAGCCACACTGAGACACATTATAATCAAACTGTTCAAAGACAAAGACAGTCTTGAAAGCAGAAAAAGGTAAGCAACTCATCACATACGAGTGATCCTCAGTAAGATTATCAACAGATTTCTTATCAGAAATTTTGGAGGCCAGAAGGCTAGAAAGCACAGGGCTGATATACTCAAAGTGTGAAAAGGAAAGAAAAAAAAAGAAAAAACCTGTCAAACAAGAGGCTTAAATCTAGCCAAACTATTTTTCAAAAGCAAAGGAGAAATTAAAAGTTTGTAGGTTATTGATGTTATGCTGGCAAAAATTTAAATGAAAATGTCGTAACTCCAGGATGTTAAATGTAATTCTTGTGGTAACCATAAAGAAAATAGTTATAAAATATACACAAAAGGAAATGAGAAAGGAATTCAAACATTCTACTACAAAAAATTAAACACAAAAGAAGATAGTGATACAAAAAATGAGGAACAAAAAAACTGAAAGGCATATAGAAACAAATAGCAAAATGACAGAAACAAGTTTCTCCTTAATTACTTTAAATGTAAGGGGCTAGGGGCGCCTGGCTGGCTCAATTGGTAGAGCACTCTTGATCTCAGGGTTGTAAATTTGAGCCCCACACTGGGTGTAGAGATTACTTACAAAAAAAAAAAATCTTCCAAAAAAACCCAAGTATGCGTAAGGGGATGAAACACTCTAATCAAAAAACGTAGACTGTCTATGTGAAATAAAAATACATAGTCCAATGCTGTCTACAAAGAATGCACTTTAAAGACACAAAGGGGTTGAAAGTAAAAGGACTGAAAAAAATTTCTTCTTCTTCTTCTTCTTCTTCTTCTTCTTCTTCTTCTTCTTCTTCTTCTTCTTCTTTTAGTATTTCCTTTCTTTCTGGCATAAGAAGATCCTTCAGGTTCTTCCCAAACCTAGTTTTCCCCAGCCCTGGAACCAGTCATTTCTCTGAGGAGCTTTGGTTCATTTCAGTGGCCAATCTCACAGTGTGCTCATTGCTACTGGGGTATATTTACTTTTTTGTGGACAGGACAAATAAATACATGCATACACATGAACATACAAATATACACACATGCACATACATGTGCACATCTACACATAGACACACATACATGTATTTTAGAAATCACAAGATCATACCAAGAGCTCCCATTACAATCCATCTCCAGATTCTCTTGCCTCTCCTCCTTCCACATTTGTATGCCTCCTTCTTTGGTAAGAACCCCCCAGTTTAAAACAACAATGACAATTTCACTCATTTTTCTCAATCCCCTATCACATCTAAAATTTGTAGAATTACTTCACTCTTACTACAACAAAAACAAACCACACCAAAAATAGTTCAGGATTTGTTTGCAATTCTCTTCTTCCCTTAACCCAAGACTGAAGGAATATAGTTAAATACTATGTTTTCTCTTTTTCCCTCCAGTGTGCTTATAGTATTAATTTAAAATACAATTGGGTTCATTTGTTTTAGTTTGCTTTCAGTTGTAGATTTCCCCTTTTCCATCCTTTCTAATTTTATTACTTAAAATATGTAGAATACTAGCATGATTTCAAAAGTCAAACTTACACAAAAAAGTATATTCAGAGAAGGGTCACTTCCTCCCAGGTCCCTTTGCCCCTCTGACTATATTTTGCTCTCCCTCCATTCTTTGTAGATAACAAACTTCATTATTTTCTAGCTTATCATTCCTGCATTTCTTTTTCGAAAGATACATATATATATATATATATATATATTCATGTTTTATTTTCCCTTTTTTTTTAATTTTTAAAGTTTATTTATTTCGAGAGAGACAGAGAGTGAGCAGGGGAGGGCAGGGAGAGAGGGAAAGAGAGATCCCAAGCAAGCTTTACACTGGCAGAGCCCGATGTGGGGCTTGAACTCACGAACCACAAGATCATGACCTGAGCAGAAACCAAGAGTCAGTAGCTTACTGACTGAGCCACCCAGGTACCTCCCTTCTTCTTTATATAAAAGTAGCATTCTCTATTCTCTAAGTCCTTCTCAACTTAAAAGCACATTTTAAAAAAAGTTTTATTTATTAATCTCTGCAC